TGTTCAAGCAATGTCTCCTGGGCTTCAGCTTTCCCGAGCTAGCTGGGATTTCCAGAGCGCGCCACACCATGCCTGGCCTAATTTTTTTTTTTTGTATTTTTAGTAGAGATGGGGTTTCATCATATTGCCAGGCTGGTCTTGAACTTCTGACCTTAGGTGATATGCCCGCCTTGGCTTCCTAAAGTGTTGGGATTACAGGTGTGAGCCACCACGCCAAGCCAGATTTAAAATTTCAGATCACTCTGATTGCAGTGTGGGCATACGAAACAGAGTTAATGACACTAATTAGAAGGCTGTTGCATTCGTTGAAGAGAGAGAGGTTGATGGCCTGAACCTGTAGAGGCAAAACCATGAGCAGTAATGTTGGCACTCAGGGCAAACAACTCAAAATTGACCTTCAGACAGCTCTGTAATGCAGGATAGAGCTTGCAGGCAGGTGTGACTGGTAATATGCCTTTTGATAGTTTTCAGTTTAACAAATAGTCTGGATAACCAGGTGCTATTTTTTTTAAACAATTATGTTTTAAAGGAAAACATGCCCCTGAGATTTTGGAATTCAGGAGCAAAGCATGGTCCACTCCTGTAGTTGGGCTGGGGCAGAGGCAGTGGGAAGCGGGTGGTAATCAGATTTGGGAGATATTTAGGAGGTAGGGTGGACAAGTAAAGCTTTTGATAGAAAAACATGTTTAGTTAAAGTTGTTTTGTTTCGTTTGAATTGAATTAGTAATATATGCCATGGTAAAATTCAAACAGCACTAAAGGCATGCAATGAAAAGTGTCTCCTTCGGCTGGGCACGGTGGTTCACGCCTGTAATCCCAGCACTTTGGGAGGCTGAGGAGGGTGAATCATGAGGTCAGGATATTGAGACCATCCTGGCTAACACGGTGAAACCCTGTCTCTACTAAAAATACAAAAAATTAGCCAGGTGTGGTGGCGGGTGCCTGTAGTCCCAGCTACTCGGGAGGCTGAGGCAGGAGAATGGCGTGAACCCGGGAGGCAGAGCTTGCAGTGAGCTGAGATCGCACCACTGCACTCCAGCCTGGGCGACAGAGCGAGACTCTGTCTCAAAAAAAAAAAAAAAAAGTGTCTCCTTAACCAGAGTCAGCCATTCTTAACAGTTCTTGTGTATTCTAGAGCTTTTTGTGCCACTGTAAGCCTATATTTAATTTTTATCTTTTATAAAAATTGGAACATACTATATACTTTGCTCTTCCCTTTACTAATTCACTTAACATTGTATTTTGGCAGTCTTGCTACATCTATTTTTGGTTTTGTTTTTAAAGAGACAGGGCCTTGGTCTATCGCTCAGGCTGGATTGCAGTGGTGCAATCATAGCTCACCGTAACCCCAGACTCCTAGGCTCAAGGGATCCTCCTGCCCCTGCCTCCAAGTAGCTAGGACTACAGGGGTGTGCCACCATGCCCAAATAATTTTTAAAATTTTTATAGAGATGGGATCTCCCTATGTTGCCCAGGCTGGTCTCAAACCCTGGCCTCAAGTGATCCTCCTGCCTTGACTTCCCAGAGCATTGGGATTACAGGTGTAAGCCACCATGTCCTGCCTACTTTGCTCTTTTGAATAACTATTTAATAGTCCATTGTTTGAATGTGCATTCTCATTATTTATTTAAACTAGTCTCCTTTTTTTTTTTTTTTTTTTTGAGACAGGGTCTCGTTGTGTTTCTCAGGCTGGAGTGCAGTGGTGTGATCTCAGCTCACTGCAACCTCCGGCTCCTGAGGTCAAAGTATTCTCCCGCCTCAGCCTCCTGATTAGCTGAGACTACAGGTGTGTGCCACCACACCCAGCTAATTTTTGTATTTTTTTTTGTAGAGTCGGAGTTTCACCCTGTTGCTCAGGCTGGTTTCAAACTCCTGGGCTCAAGTGATCCACCTGTCTCAGCCTCCCAAAGTGCTAGGATTACAGGTGTGAGTCACCACAACCAGCCAAATTGGTCTCCAAATTGATGTACATTGGGGCTGTTTCTAATTTTTGATATTTGAGTTAGATTTTTTAAAATTAGATTTTAAATTGAGGGAAGAGACACAAAATAATGAAGGAAGAATTCTAGGTGGTGAAAAAGATTTATACATAAACAGAGACCACTAGTGTCTTTGTGCCTGACGGACTACTCTTGACTCTCCTAGGCCATAGGATGAACATATTTATGAGGAGGGAGGTGGGAGAGTAATGGGTGTTTCTGCAGACCCTTGAGTCTATGTGTAGAATTGGGATGTGACTTAGGAACTGGGCATTTTTAACAGGGTCAGAGTGAAGCTGTCCATAGCCACTTCTTCTCCAATTAAAGATCCTTCAGGGGAGCAGGCTGCCACAGCTGTGAACATTGATCACACTCCGCTTCGGTAAAAATGCCTTCCTGCCTGTGCACAGACATCACCCTGTTGTATCCTAAATCCACCTGTTGTCATAGTTGTTTCTCTGGGCACCCCAGCCATAGTAAGAAATATGAAGTATTGGCTGGGCGCAGTGGCTTAGGCCTGTAATTCCAGCACGTTGGGAGGCCAAGACCGGTGGATCACAAGGTCAGGAGTTCGAGACTAGCCTGGCCAACACAGTGAAACCCTGTCTCTACTAAAAATACCAAAATTAGCTGGGCATGGTGGCATGTTCCTGTAATCCCAGCTACTTGGGAGGCTGAGGCAGGAGAATTGCTTGAACCCGGGAGGTGGAGGTTACAACGAACTGAGATTGTGCCACTGCACTCCAGCCTGGGCAACAGAGCGTGACTCCGTCTCAAAAAAAAAAAAAAAAAAGAAGAGAAAAGACGTATTTGTGAAGTATTTGTGAAATAAAAGAAGAGGTTTGCTGGCTTGAGTAGAAAGTTGTGTCAGGGAGGAATGAGAAATGGGCCATTTGTTTAAGGCCACCCCCGACTAGCTCTTCCTTTTCTTTTCTTTTTTTTTTTGAGACGGAGTTTCGTTCTTGTTGCCCAGGCTGGAGTGCAACGATGTGATCTCGGCTCGCTGCAACCTCCGCCTCCCGGGTTCAAATGACTCTCCTGCCTCAGCCTTCCGAGTTACAGGCATGCGCCACCACGCCTGGATAATTTATTTTATTTTATTTTATTTTTTTACATTTTTAGTAGAGATGGGGTTTCTCCATGTTGGTCAGGCTGGTCTTAAGCTCCCAACTTCAGGTGATCCACTCGCCTCGGCCTCCCAAAGTGTTGGGATCACAGGCATGAGCCACCGCGCCTGGCCAGCTCTTCCTTTTCATGTAAGCATGCTCTTAACTTTTCTGCTGGAGCTGGAGAAATTAGTTTTACCCAAGATTATGCAGCCATTTGCCAGTTGCATAATTTTGGGTAAGTTTCAACATCTCCAAGCTTCAGTTCCCCATCAGTCAAATGGGCATCATAATTCCCACTTGGCACAGTGTTGGGAAGATTTATTGAGTCAATGTATGTGAAAGGGCCTATGTTTCATTTTACTTTTTTGCAAGGCCTTGTCAGAATGGAGTTTCTAAGGCAATGTGTAATCCAACCCAAGATAATAGATACCAAAATGTTCTATTCTTTCCTGGGATGTGACTGCCAATGTTAACCTCCCATACTCTCAGCATTTGTGCTTTACTGAAACTATATCTGAAAGTTCATCGCCTTCAGGGAATTCATACAAAATTTCTTTACATTTGTATAGTACTTTATAGTTGTTAAAGGGACCTTAGCAACAATCATCTAATTTGAACCCCCTAGCAAACCTTCTGTGGCAAGGCACATTTTATCACCATGTTACAGATAACATAAATGAGGCTCAGAGAGAATAATATAAAGAAACTGAGGGCCAGGCACGGTGGCTCATACCTGTATTCCCAGCATTTTGGGAGGCCAAGGCAGGAGGATCACTTGAGGTCAGGAGTTCAAGACCAGCCTGACCAACATGTGAAACCCCGTCTCTACCAAAAATATGAAAGTTAGTCAGGTGTGGTGGTGCATGCATGTAGTCCCAGTTACTCATGAGGCTGAGGCAGGAGAATTCCTTGAGCCCAGAAGGCGGAGATTGCAGTGAGCTGCACACCACTGCACTCCAGCCTGGGCAAGAGTGAGAGACCTTGTCTCAAAAAAAAAAAAAAAGATCCAGGTGCCATGTCTCATGCCTGTAATCCCAGTACTTTGGGAGGCTGAGATGGGTGGATCACCTGAGGTCAGAAGTTCAAGACCAGCCTGGCCAACACGGTGAAACCCCGTCTCTCGTAAAAATACAAAAATGAGCTGGGCATGGTGGCAGGTGCCTGTAATCCCAGCTACTCATCACTTCAACCTGGGAAGTAGAGGTTGCAGTAAGCTAAGATCGTGCCATTGCACTCTCGCCTGGGCAACGGAGTAAGACTCGTCTCAAAAAAAAAAAAAAAAGAAACTGAGGCTCAAATAATAAACAGCAGAGACCAGGAGTAGATTACTTCTAGACTACTTCAAGACTAAAGAGATGAGAGGTAGCTTCCCTGACCTCAATCTGCCTAGGTTTGGAATTCTTGAGTCTGTTTCCCCAATCATGTTTTGCATCCTAGTAAAATGCATGCCACTTCTAAAATAATTTTTCTGTTGAAATAACAATAGCAGGCCAGGCGCGGTGGCTCACACCTGTAATCTCAGCACTTTGGGAGGCCGACGCAGGTGGATCACCTGAGGCCAGGAGTTCGAGGCCAGTCTGGACAACATGGCGAAACCCTGTCTCTACTAAAAACACAAAAATTAGCTCGGTGTGGTGGTGGGTGCCTGTAGTCCCAGATACTTGGGAGGCTGAGGCAGGATAATTGTTTCAGCCCGGGAGGCAGAGGTTGCAGTGAGCTGAGATGGCACCGCTGCACTCCAGCCTGGGCAACAGAGTGAGACTCCGTCTCAAAACCACAACAATAAAAAGAAATAATAACATCAGCAAAATACTTTATTGTTTGTAAAACACCTTAAAATTGATGGACTCATTTGATTCTTACAGTAGTCTCCTGGGTAAGTAGAGCAAACATGAGTTATTCTATTTTTCAGATGAGGAAATAGATGTTAGAATGGAGACCTGCCCAATGTCAAACAACTAAGAAGCAGAACTGGAACGGGAACCTGACTTTCTCAGCAGCAACTTCAATGCCTTCTTATAGGTTCATTATTGTTGTTATACTTTTATTATGCTTCTATTGTGCTGTGTAATTTGTTTTTAAAAATTCAAATTAGTTAACCTCTTGTAGACATTCATTGAAATACATTTGTTTAGCACCTGTGTAAACTGCTCACCATTTAGTTGGGAGAAAGGTAAATAAACAAAGTTACAAAGACAAAACATACTTTGCAATTTGGAGACTTAATAAATGTTTTTGATGACAGTATGATGACAGCTTGTGAGTTAATATGAAGGCTCGGCATGGTGGCTCAAGCCTGTAATCCCAGTACTTTGGGAGGTCAAGGAAGGCGGATCATGAGGTTAGGAGTTTGAGAACAGCCTGGCCAACATGGTGAAACCCCATCTCTACTAAAAATACAAAAAAATTAGCCACGTGTGTTGGCGCGTGCCTGTAATCCCAGCTACTTAGGAGGCTGAGGCAGGAGAATCGCTTGAACCCAGGAGGCGGAGGTTGCAGTGAGCAGAGATCATGCCACTGCACTCCAGCTTGGGTGACAGAGCGAGACTCCGTCTCAAACAAACAAACAAAAAAACCACAATGGACTTCTGTAAAATAAGAGAGAAAGTAGCCACATGTATATATACCCATGTGCATAAGCTCCCTCCACACACCAGTGAAATCATCTGAATTTTACATTTCAATAAGTAACTGGCACCTTCTTGGCATACTAATCTGTAGGAAATTACAGGCTATAGTGTTGTGGTATATTATCAGAGAATGTCAAGTAGATTTCAGTATTATGTTACTTTGACGTCACTGCCCGGCATTGCTTTGGTCTTTTCCTTACTACTAATATAAATTATTATTTATAATAATTTCCTTTGTAAACAGCATATTCCTTGCTTGATAATAAAGACTTCACTTACTTCTGTCCTTTTGCTGTTTGGGGTCATGATTGGTGTCTGCTCACCCTTCTCGGTTCTCCAGAGCAACATGTGACCTGAAGCCAACTCGGAAAAAGAAGAAACAGGTCAAAGAAGAGAACAAAGATTAAACAGAACAGTGTGTTTGGAGCACTCGATCTTGAATTTAAAAAAAAGCAAAGGAGTACAACTCCCCTGTGTAGTGAATTGATTTTTACTCAGAGAGGTCTGGCTGTGGCCCTCGGCTACTGGGAGATGATCTCTAGGCCCCTGGAATGTCCTGCCCAATAGGAATGTCATTGTTTGCCTCAGGAGCTTGGCCACCATATGCTTGAATGATGTGATTTATAATGGGGGCTTTGAAACACGCTGTATCAGTTCCAGCCCCCATAGGGACTGGAGAGCAAAGGTCAGTCATGCAGGCAGCATGTGGTCAAGCTCCAGCAACGGCTCTGGACACCAAAGACTCGGGCAAGCTTTCCTGGTGGCAGCACTCGCAAGCACTGTCACACCTCGTAGCTGGGAGGGGCAGTGATGTCTGGAATTTCACAGGAGAAGGTGTCCAAAGTTCCCCATGTGGCTCTTCCCAGACTTTGCCCTCTGGATCTCTTCCCTTGGCTGGTTCTGATGTGTACCCTTTTGCTGCAAAAAAAGTTTAATTAATTTGTCATAAGTATAGTGCTTCCCTGAGTTCTGTGAGTCATTGTAGCAAATTATCAAACCTGCGGGGATAGTGGAACCAAACCCTGAACTGGCTACTGGTGTCTGAAGTGAGGGTGGCCTGGTAGAGGACTGTTCCTTACCCCTTGAAGTCTGGCCTGCCTCCAGGTAGTTGGGGTCAGACATCACTGCGTTTCCCAAAGCCTGCTTTTAGATTTAGATTTTGACGCTTTTTGACACTTTCTAGCTTGGTTACGTCTCTCGGCTTCATTTTTTTTTTTTTTTTAAGACGGATTCTCACTCTGTTGCCCAGGCTGGAGTGCAATGGCACGATCTCAGCTCACAGCAACCTCCGCCCCCTGGGTTCAAGCGATTCTCCTGCCTGAGCCTCCTGAGTAGCTGGGGTTATAGGTGCCCGCCACTACGCCTGGCTAATTTTTTTTTTTTTTTTTTTGTAATTTTAGTAGAGGCGGAGTTTCACCATGTTGGCCAGGCTGGTCTCAAACTCCTGACCTGCCTTGGCCTCCCAAAGTGCTGGGATTACAGGTGTGAGCCACCGCACCTGGCCGGCTTCAATTTTTCTAATCCTTAATTTGGGGATCATACTTGTCCTATTTTCTTCACAGGGTTAATTATGAAGATCAAAAATTAAATAGTATATGTGTGAGAGAGCTATTGATAGCAAACAAGAACATGATATCTAAAACTGTAAAGGACCATCAAAAGGTATTACTTTTATTACAATGGAACTAAATGGTGGAGATAATGTGGTGAGGTACATGTGTTAGGTAAGGCTTTCTTCAATCATTCATTACACAAATAAAGATTGAATTTAGGTGTTGGGGAGATAAGTCAGGGCCCTGCTCTGTGGGGGCTTCTATTCTACTGAGGGAGAGAGAAAATAAAGAGGCAACTGAGGAGAATAATTAGACTGTGGTCATTGTTGTGTGGGAAGCAGAATGATAAGGTAACAATTCTGTTGGAAGGGTTGCCTCTCAAGACAGAGTGGCCAGAGAAGGCTCCTAAGAACTGATGTTTGAATAAAGAAGTTAAAAAAGAGAACAAGGGTATTTAGGCAGAAGGAATAGCAAAGGCAAAGGCCCTGAGGTGGGAGAGAGCGTGGTGTATGTACAGAACAGAGAAGAGATCTGTGTGTCTGGCCTGGGGATAAGGTTGGAGATATGCATGAGTCAGAAGAAGAAGGGTCCTTTTTTTTTTTCTTTTTCTTTTTTGAGACAAGGTCTCACTCTGTCGCACAGGTTGGAGTGCAGTGGGACAATCTCGATTCACTGCATCCTCGACCTCCCCAGCTCAAGTGATCCTCCCACCTCAGCCTCCCAAGTAGCTGGGACAATAGGTGTGCGCCACCATGACTGGCTATTTATTTGTATTTTTAGTAGAGATGGGGTTTTGTCATGTTGCCCAGGGGTGGGGCAAGTTCCTGGGATCAAGCTTATCTGCTCGCCTCAGCCTCCCAAAGTGCTGGGATTACAGGCATGAGCCACTGTGTTTGGCAGAGAAGGGCCTTATTTGCCAGAGAAAATATTTGGATTTTTAAGAGTGACATGAAGTTAGGGTAGTTTTAAGTAGGCAAGTGAGATGAACTGCTTTAAGAAGACACTCCAGGCTGGGCGCAGTGACTCACGCCTGTAATCCCAGCACTTTGGGAGGTGAAGGTGGGCGGATCACCTGAGGTCGGGAGTTCGAGACCAGCCTGACCAACATGGAGAAACCTCGTCTCTACTAAAAAAAAATACAAAATTAGCTGGGCATGGTGGCACATATACCTGTAATCCCAGCTACTTGGGAGGCTGAGGCAGGACAATCGCTTGAACCTAGGAGGCGGAGGTAGCGGTGAGCCATTGCACTCCAGCCTGGGCAACAAGAGCAAAACTCTGTCACATACACAAAACAAAAACAAAAACACCCACACACATACAAGAATACACTCCAGCTGCTGAACGGGAATGAGGGGAGGCAGGGAGACCTCACCAGGAGACTATGTAGGGAAGGAGCTGGCTGAGGAGAGATGGAGAAATGGTCATCTTCCAGCTATGCTTTAAGGTAGAACCAAAAAGCCTTGCTGATGGACTCCAGATGTTGGGGATGGGGTAGGCAAGAGGAAGAAAGGTTTGTCAGCTGCCTCCTCTGGGAAGCAGATGCTGAATGAGGAGTGTAAGAGGCCTAAAAGGGAGTGCCTATGAGAGGGGACAGGAAGCAGGGTTCAGCAAGGAGAGCCTCAGACTGAAATGCAGATAGAATCTTGGGCAACCTATTGGGGAACTCCAGAGCAAATGTGTTTCATTAGAGGGGTTCGCATAGGGCAGAAATGTCCAGGCCCTAAGAGCCCCTCTACTCTGTTCAGTCACTGGCCAGGGCCTGATGAGAGGAGTGTGCCTTGGTTGGAAAACTGAGACAGATCCCTCAGCACTAACAGCTGGGGCTGACAGCTAACTGTCCTCCTTGCCGTTGTGCAGCAAGTTCTTTCTTGAAGACAAATCCAGGTGAGGCACCTTCATGGCTACCACAGTCTTCCTTTTGTACCATGTGGATCTACATTTCCACATACGTCGAGGGGTAGCTCTTCCGGGGTTTCAGTGGGCTCTTTTCTTGAAGGGACTTAGATAAGGGAGGTCAGTGGGATAACCACAGGCTGTTGCTGCAGTTGGTCTTGCAATAGGTAACATCATTTCCCTCCTCCATTATCCATTCTAAATTCCACTCTCCCTCTCTGCTAGAGATGACACCACTGTCATTTTTGCTGGTCTTGTTAGCTTACCAAGCGGTGTAGCACAACCCTGATTCCTCAGAGGCTCTGAGTCCCTGATCACTTCGCCCTTCACAGGCTGGGCTGCACTTGCCATTCAGGTTACCACTGGGCATGAAGAGTACCAAGAGGTGCCCAAGTGGCTCACCTGAGTTTCACACATATTCCTTCCTGCCTTATTGTCCAAGAGCAGTTCTAGCTCCTTTTGTTGATCAGGCTCCATATCCCTGCCCCAGGCTCACTAGAATACAGGCTGGAGCAGTATTCCCAGGCGTGGAATATGTTTGCCGCCAGAACCCTCCAGGCATTGTATTTTTTTTTGAGACGGAGTCTCACTCTGTCGCCCAGGCTGGAGTGCAGTGGCCGGATCTCAGCTCACTGCAAGCTCCGCCTCCCGGGTTTACGCCATTCTCCTGCCTCAGGCTCCCAAGTAGCTGGGACTACAGACGCCCGCCACCTCGCCCGGCTAGTTTTTTGTATATTTTTTTAGTAGAGATGGGGTTTCACCGTGTTAGCCAGGATGGTCTCGATCTCCTGACCTCGTGATCCGCCCGTCTTGGCCTCCCAAAGTGCTGGGATTACAGGCTTGAGCCACCGCGCCCGGCCACCCTCCAGGCATTGTAGTTCCTTCTTTGTGCATGCAAGATGCAGCATTTTGTCTTTTGTTTCATAGGCAATGACCTAGTATGCCCTTGACCACTGGATTCCAAAAAACTTTATTGAAGGGGCAAGTCCTGGAATCTTCAGAGAGTTTATGTCTCATTTTCTAGACTGCATGTGTCTTCCCGAGGCTTTCAGGTGCCAGCCACCTCTTGCTATTCTCCAAAATTAGCCTAATGTCATTGATGAATGGAGCATTGTGATATTCTGTGGGAAGTCCAGATGATCTAGATCTTTTCT